CGGCCCGGGCACGACTGGTGCCCCTCGGGTGCGTGCTGGGCACGGCCGAGGCTCGACTGAGGCGCTGTCGTGCGGCTGGGCACGGACAGGCACTGGCCAGACGCGGCTGGCACGGGGAAGGCGCGGACAGAGGCCCCTAGGGCGCTGCCGGGCCGTCCCGAGGACACTGGGCACTCGGGCATGCTGCTGGGACATGCACCGAGACCGACTGGCTCAGCTGACCCGGCTTGGATCAGCCCTGGACCTGGCACGAGGCTCTGGCACGAGACCTCGTGCGCTGGGCTTGGCACGGACGCTGCCGGGCGTCCCTGGGCACGCGGGTGTGCTGCTGGGCACATCCCGGGCCAACTGCGTGCTCGGGCGTGGCACTGGCACGACCCGAGGTCGGCTACGCATGACACGCGAGGCCATGCGTGCACTGAGGCTGGGACAGCGCGGCCAGGCGCTGTCGGGGTTGCTTGGGCGCGACGGGCGCCACGACCCCGGGTACGACGCGGACAGGCACTGCGGGCGCGCTGTCGCGGACACTGGTGCCTCGCGCACGCTGGCGCGGGCACGGACTGGCACTGGGCCGGGCACTGGCGCGCTATGTGCGCGGGCAGTGACCAAGGCCGGCCCTTGCCGGACCTCCGGCAACATTTCCGGTGACATGCAACTCCAAACATCATGATATGGTAAAATAAGCATAAATATCACATAAAACACTAGTGGACCCCGGGTCCACATGCATGATACTCGGGAGGGCCTAAATGGCACGTACGAGCAACTTGGCCTCCGAACCAACATTCATAACTTACAAAACTACTCAGGGCCGAATGATATACATCACAAATGATGACTATAATGGCTAACACTTGGGTCATACCATGCATGCATGAGGATGGGCCTCGGGTGGCCAAAATAGCGTATTTTCATGAATGAATTGACCAAGGCAATGAACTCCATTTATTCTCAAATTTTTACAGCATCAATGGTATGATATTTAAGGGTGATTTAACCAACATTTTCGACTTTGGCATGCATGCAACTAAAATTTTATTTTTAAGGCCATTTAATTCAAAAATTCGTAAATCATATATAATGACATGCATGGCTCGGTTTCTCTTCATGAAAAATCTTAAAATATCATAAAATAATTAATGAACATAAAAATCCCGAGCTTACCTCGGTTAGAAATGGAGATAATGAACTAGGGCTCGAAATGTGGTTATGCACGGCTTTAGGGGTTGGCTTGGACTTAGGTTGTGATTTGCTCGTGCCAAACACCTCCAAGAGACTTAGAAAAATATAAGGTACACTTATATGGTGCTAAGCCTCGAGGGAATGTGCTTGGAAAAGGCTGAGGTGCGGTCCTCCTTCTTCCCCGGGGCTGCGCGCGCGAGGTAGGCACCAGCTGGGTTCTTCTCACTTTTCTGATTTTTCTCTAAGTATTTGCTCGAGGTATTGGGGGTCTAAGAACTTCCTTGCATCTTATAGAAGAGGTTTATATAGGATATGGGGCGGAACTTGCTATGTGAGGTCAAAGGGGACCAAAATGGGTGGGAATCTTTCCCTTTTCATGCACATGAGTAGAGGCTAGTCATGGGGAACAATGGCTGACTTAAATCACGGTTTGGGTGGAGATTCCTGGTGGTTTTACAGAGCTCAAACGTTTATTTAAGTGGTCTGGTCAGCCTTGGTACAAAAGTGGGGGACAAGGACAAAAATTCTTGAATAAACAATGTTGTGCACATGCTTCACTTCATGCTAAACTCTAGTTGACTTTCCTTAACAATGCTTAGGGCCAATTAAGCTCATTTAGACCCTTATTAAGCCCTTATTACACGCATGAAATGGGTCATGAGGAAAGTGGGCCGAAAAATGGAGTTTTGGGCCTTGGAAGCTGGACTGGTCGCGCTGGGCGCTGGGCCCTGGGCGCGGGGACGCGGGCTGGGCGCGAGGGCGCGGCTGGGCTGCGCGGGAAATGGTGCTGCTCGGGGAAAATGACTTTGGGCTGAGTTGCAAGGGTTGGGAAAGGCTTCCAACACTTAGAAAATTTTAGGGAACTTATGCCAAGGCTTAGGACAAGCCTTGGGCTTGGTAGGCACGTGCTTGGCACGGCACGAGGCGCGGGTGCGGGGCTCGGCATGGGCGGCTCGGGTGAGCACTAGGGCTCAATATAAAATGATCAAAACTTGACTTTGACATTCTAAGACACTTAGAAAAATATTCTAAGTATTAAAATATCAACTCTCAATTTTTGACTTAGAAAAATATATTCGGAACGACAACTAGGGTTCGTGTCCGGTAATTTCTCGAATTGACTTGCTATTATTTAATAACCCAAATTAATGGATTAACCTTAACTTATACTTGAGATAGAATTATTCAAAGAATAATTTATCATGTTCGAGCATTTAGCATAAATAATATAACTCGATAATTTCTGAAAATTACGGATTTCACTTATAATCGAGCAGTGAAACCGTTCTGAATATTATTACTGTTTTGGGGCGTTACATTCTTCATTAAGAACCTTGATTGAGGCATTTTATTATCAAGCAATGTTTTTCCTTATTCTCATCCTTGGGAGAAAAACCGGAAGTGAGTCTCATATACAAAGTGTCCCTTACAATTTTTTCGTCCAAGATTTTCTCTAAGTGTTTCTCTCTCGGCATTAATAAGACAACCCCTAGACAAATTGTGTCTTGCACCAAAGTTCACTCAAAATCTATCTTCTGGGCCTCACCATTGATCTCACGAAAAAAAAGCCTCCCAAACATCCTCCCTTTCTCGGCGGCCAATCAGCCCACCACACGGCTTATCGAACTGCGAGCAGCCCGTTCGAGCGCGAGCAGCCGAGCCATCTGCGCGAGGAGTTCATTCCACGTCCGCAAGCCTTGTTCGAGGCTTTGGTTCGTTTGTTCGTTTGTTTCCAACTGAGCGGGTAGATTCCCGAAGGAAGGTAAAATCAAACGAACCTTCTTATTCTTATGCTCGTTTAATTCGTTGGAATTAAATCGTTTCGATTATTCCAGGTCCTTTGTTTAGGTTGGATTAATGTTTGTATCTTATTTGTTACTGTTATGGAATTGGAACTCTTTTTTGGGGCCTTTTTGTTGTGTAATTCGAGCCTTGATTTATTATTTGGGACTCGCCGTGTATTGTTGACATTCGTTTAATTGTGGTGCATTTTCGTGGTTGAAAACGAGCCTTAAACTTGTGTAATTGAGCCTTGGAAACCCTGCTTGAAAACCTTGTGTTGTATGTTGTTTCATCGCTCTTTCTACCCCCTATAACTTAGTCGAATAATTTTGAACCCTTCTGGTAATTTAATGTTTAGTCTCTTATATTTTATCTCGAGCAAGAATTAGGTTATTATCAATTTTGTACTGAAAGTTATGGCCAAAATTTGATGATTGCGCATCCAATTTTTCTGGTCTTTCGGTGTTGTAGGTGGTCATTTCTTTTCTGATTTTGAGCACTGAAACCTTGTCTTCTCTTTCTGAAGTCTTGACATACATTGTAGTTCAATATGTTATCTTTCACGAGGAAAAAGATTCAAGTGTTTGCCATTTTTATATTAAAAATTATGTCGAAAGTTTGATCGTTGCGCAGTCAGTTTTGTTATTCATCATGGTCATGCAAAGCTGTTCGTTCCTTGCTATTTTTGACAATCGTCCTTACGTCAAAAGTTTTTCATGTCTGAAAATGATTTGTAGATTTTCCTCTTGTATTTCTAGAGGAATAAAAATCATTCAATTATTAGTTTTGTATAAAACGTTACGTTCGAAATACCATCATTCGATTAGCAGATTTTGTCAAAAGGGCAGCAAATTGTCATTATTGTCTGACTAGTTCTCGTCACTTGAACTTGCTCGTTTTAATTCGAGGCCTTCATGTAAAATGTAGATCTATCTCTTAACTTTTCATACTTTTAAAAATCAGTCCCAAATATTTTCTACACAAGAAATTATGTTCGTTATACAGGGACTGCGCGTAGAAGAACTATCCGATTTTCATCAACTTAGTTTAATGTTTCCATTTAACCGTTTTTGAACTGTTTCGCCCATTTTCGAGCCGAACCTTAATTTTAACCTCGTGACCATTGTTCCAATTCTTTTTCCAATCCTTTAAGAGTTTTAAATTCCACATGAGCTTCACAAACTCCTTAATCAATAATTTTGATTATGTAGGAATTTTCGATGAAATTCTGAGTTATCGAGATAAGTATTTCCGAGTTATAAGGGGACTTTTCCCTCCTTTTCGCCTCTTATTTCACTAGGTTTCTCCCAAATTTTCAGAGAAAAAATTCTGAAACTCTCACCCTCTCATACCTCTCAAACCTCAAGAGAAAAATCAGATCTCCCCTAACACCCATCAACTCTCGGATTTTCTCCTTCGCCGGCGCATTGCTCCCAGCCCTCGTGTATTGCCTCCCAGCCGCGTTGAGTCCTCGCCTCGCAAGCGCCAAGCACAACAGGAAGCCTTCGATCACACCATCCACGTCGAAGGTGCTACAAATCGCCATTGCTAAGGGTTGTCTACACCTTAGCCTCTTTCCGTTAGTGTCCATTTGAAGCCGAGGCCGATCAACGCCGCCCGAGGCCGTCCTTCATCTTATCTGGCCATCCTTTTTGTGTGTAGATTCCCGAAGCCGGTTAATTGGTTTTGTTTCCCCCTCTTTTACTTTGCTCTATTGTTATGTGAATAGATCTATGTGCTTTGGGGTCAGATCTAATTTTAAGAAAATGAGATCTATTGATTTAATTGAACAAATTAGTAGATCTCGATTATTTTGGATTTTTGGTAGTGAATGTGGAACTTGGAACTCGTTGAAACCATTTGGGCTGAGGTATATTACTTGAAAAATCATTTTTGACTTTTGGGAATTTTTGTAACCTAATTATGCCCTATATTTTCGAAAATTCTTATAAGTCGTATGAGTTGTAATCTGGGACTCAAATTTCACATCCTGAACCCTTATTGTGTGCTTAAGTTGCTGGTAAAATTTCCTGAAAATGCCACGAGCCAATCTCCGAAAACCTCGGCCGAGATATGTGGCCATGAGTGGACGAGGCTCAGCCGGCCTGCTTGGGTGCCTCAGCGCGCAGGCAGCCCATGATGCACGCAGCGCTCAGTGGTGGCACGCTTTGCTGAGATGGCCAAAAGTGGTCGCTGAGACCAACAACAGCCGGGGGTGTCATAGTCGTCGCCCACAACGTCACCCGCAGCTGCCAGACGCTCCCAGCAACCTCGCCCATGTGCTTTCAGCCGTTTGAGTGTGCGCGCTGCACCCAGTAGCCACACCAGCGATCCCGGACACCCAGCAGTAGCATCCACTTACCCTGTCGACCCGGTGCACGCAGCCCCGCACCCCAACACGCCTAAACGAACCCCAATGACCCTCAGCAGCGTCCAGACGAGCCCCAGCGATGCTCTACAGCGCCCAGAAGAGCCCAACAATGCGGTCAGCAAGCAATGCCCGCGCCCGTGCCAGTCCACGCGAGCCAAAACCTTTTTCCCTGAGCTGTTTGACTATTTTTTTCGAACAATTGACCTTGTTTTTTCGTGCTGAACCCAATTTTAGCCTTTTAAAAATATTTTTTGAAGTTTTTCCTTAAAAATTGAGAGTTCCAAATTACACAAACTCTTTAATCATTAATTTTTTATTAAATGAGAATTCTTGTTAATTTTTCAAGTATCAAAAAAATTGTTTATGAAGTATTATCTTGATTATTTGTAGGTTTCTGAGGATTTGAGCCTCAATACCTACCGAGCTATTTGTGTGGTTATCCTGCCATCTGATAAGGTGGGTGTTGATAAACTTTATTGTGCCATTATTGTTTATAATCGCTAGATTTTATAATCATTGTATGCATGTGAACAATGTAACCTATCGTTGGAGGCAGATTCGGCCTTTAATACGGTATTACCATTGTCGGATGCTGATTCAACCGACGACGGAGCCTAATGAGAGGCAGTCTCCTTTATAGTAATGAAAGGCCTTGTCGTTGGATGCAGATTCGACCTTCGACATGAGCTCCCGTTGTCGGATGCGGATCGATCTTCAGCGGTTATATAAGTGTACACTTGAGCATTATATGATGCGATAGGAGTTGTGATAATATGTTATTGATTTATGTCCATGCTGCGATTGTACTATCTGTTAATATACTTAATATATTGCACGGTAATTCTCACGGTGAGCTTGTTGTTTGCTCACCCCTATTATTTCAATCTTTTTCAGGTTGAGTTGGCGTTTGTGGCAAAAGACGGGACGAGGGTGGTCATTTGCATTATTTTGAACCTATTGAACTACCTTCGCTTGTTATGTTTTTCCATAATTTATGTGTGTTATGGTTATTTTTGGAAACTTTGAACTGTTGACTTATGTTTCGAGATTATTATGTTTCATTGATTATTATCTCGTGTTGGCGTGTGTTGTGAATTGGGAAATGCGTTCCCAACAGCTTATGATGATGCTAAGACGAGTATTTTCGAAAAATTAACTCTGATTTTGAAAAACTTGGGATTTTTCCTTTCAAAATAACGGGACGTTAAAGTATGTTATAAGAGCAGGTCTACATTTCTGTAGACTGCTTTTGGAATTTTTTAAAATTTCAAAATGACCACTCTTCTTTGTCATGTCGCGCCAGCTCAAAGGTATGAGTATGTGTTAGTTCTGTTATTACTTGCTTGACTTTATTTTGGGGCTTATAAATTTATCCTCCTTTTGTTGGTTTGAACTATAGTTGAGAGAGTTAATCTTGTTTTAACTTCCAAGTTACTTGTGTTTTAGATATGATTAACCGGAACAGACGAGGTGCTGACCCGAACGCTCAACAGGCTCCCCTCCCTCCATGCCGGGTCGAGATCATGCTCAGCTAGTCATCTAATTTCGTAACATGCAGCCGCCGGTCTTCACCTAGGTAGAAGGCTCGATTGCTATGGCTGAGTGGATCCGCAAGCTCGAGCGGATCTACAATGCGCTTATGTGTTCCCATGCGCAGCACATTGCTTGTTCTGATTTCTAGCTTGACGGCGATGCCGCCGATTGGTGATCTGATTATTGGCTTTTGAGGCTAGTAGCTGAGCGCACCGGTCTTACCTAGGATCGAATCAACGAGATTGTTACAGAGAAGTACTTCCCTTAGAGCTACCGCGATCTTATGAAGCGGGTGTTCTGGGACTTGCGACAGGGAGATATATCACTGGACGAGTATGTGAGGACTTTCACCCGTATAAGCTCCTTTGCTCGACATCTAGTCGATACAGAGGAGAAGAAGGCCAACAGGTTCCAGAATGGGCTTCATTCCGACATTCGCATCCTGGTATCTAGCCACAGAGCTTTATCATATGCTGAGACGCTTATTTAGGCTTAACAGATTGAGAGTTTCCAAGCCTTCGATGTAGTCGTTCCATCATTCCAGCACGTTACCACTACTCAGCCTGTCATTATTGTTCAGCCAGCTTCTAGCTCGGAAAAAAAGAAGGCCGATCAGCACCGGGGTCAGTGGAAGGGGAAACGTGGAGAAGTAGGCAGACACGACGACCGCCCACATGCCCAGGCAGCTCAGTGGACGAGATGTTCGAATAGCGGCAGGACCCATGGTGGCGAGTGTAGGGCAGCTCAGAAGACTTTCTTTAATTGCCCCAGGAACCCTGGAGACAGAATTAGGGACAGATCCAAACAACTCAGAACCAAGATCAGTTTCGATAGAAGCTGAACCGGCAGGGGACTGAAGGGCAAGCTCGTATTTATGCATTGACTCATGATGAGGCCACGACGAATGTAGGTACCATGTCGGGAATGCAATTTATATAGATTGTGCCTGTATTTTCTTTGTATGACACCAGAGCCATGCACTCCTTTGTTTCTTAGAGGTGTTTGGGGGCAGTTGGGATCCATAGTGTCAGTACAGTTGACGCCTTAGAGGTTAGCTTATCCTCTGTGAAGATACTTGTTACTAATTCTATGGTGCAGGGTCTTAGTGTTAGCATCAGAGGGAGGAACTTGGAGGCGGACGCTTATGTCATTGACATCAGGGACTTCAACATCATCCTTGGAATGGACTGACTGACCAGATACCCTGCCAACATCTGATGCTTGAAGCATGAGGTGACCCTTCACCCGACCGACGGAGAGCATAACACGTTTTATGAAGCAAAGTCGAGGACAGTGCCCCAAAACATTTCATCTTTGAAGGTGATGCGGAGCTTGGCGAAGGGTAGTTGCGAAGGCTACTTGGTGAACATAGTTGGAGAGGAGACTAAGAAGTGATCACCGAACGATGTGTCCATCATATGTGAGTACGTGAATGTGTTTCCGGAGAAGTCGCCAAAGGGGCTACTGGATAGGCAAGTCAAATTCACTATAGACTAGATACTGGAAGAAGGTCCAGTTTTGATGCTGCCCTATAGAATGGCAATAAAAAAGCTGCAAGAGCTCAAGACGCAGATCCAGGAGCTATTGAATCTTGGTTTCATCCGACTGCGTGTTTCACCCTGTGGAGCGTCTGTGGTATTCGTGAAGAAGAAGGACGAGTCTATGCGGATGTGCATTGATTACCGTGAGCTTGACAACCTTATAGTGAAGAACAAGTATCCGCTACCGAGAATCAAGGACTTATTCGACCAGCTGAGGTCTGGCTATCATCACCTATAAATTAAGGAGTCCGATGTATCGAAGACGGCGTTCCGGACTAGGTATTGTCACTACAAGTTTGTAATGATGTCATTTGGGTTGAGCAACGCAACTGTGGTATTCATGGATATCATGAACCGGGTCTTTCATCCATACCTAGACTAATTTGTTATCGTATTCATCGATGACAATTTGGTGTATTCGAGAGAGGTTGAGCAGCACAAGGAGTATTTGAGGATTGTATTGGAGACACTTCGCAAGGAGAAGTTGTATGCGAAGTTCATGAAATGCGAGTTTCGGTTGGACAGAGTGGCCTTCCTTGGTCACATTGTCACAACCAAAAGAATAGAAGTAGATCCGGGAAAGATAGAAGTTGTGAACAATTGGGAGACGTAGAAGAAAGCCAGTGACATTCATAGTTTCCTGGGTCTAGCAGAATACTCTCGGAGATTCATAGAGGGCTTTTTGAAGATAGCCCAACCGATGACGCAGCTGACGAAGAAGGTCGCAAAATTCATTTGGAATGCCGAGTGCGAAGCCATTTTCCAGGAGTTGAAGAGGAGGCTGACAACCGCAATTGTATTGACCATTCTCGATCCAACCTTGGAGTTCACTATCTATTGTGACGCTTCAAAGTTGGGTTTGGGTTGTGTGTTGATGCAGCAACGGCGAGGTGGTCCATCTTACGGATCGATAGTGGATACCAAACATGTACATACATGATTTCGAATAACCATAGGCATGCTCCTAAAGGAAGAACAGAGAATTACCTTTCTTCGAGGCTTTGATTCGATCTGAGCGATCTTCTAGTCTGTATCCCGACCATGTTTGGACGCCGGATGGATGACGATCCTCCAAACGGTAGCAAGGAGCGGATGGGTTTCGTTCTTCTCTGAACCCCTCACGTTTTCTCTCTCACATTGATGTGGTGGCTAAAGACGTGATGCTCTCTTAGGTTTCAAGAACGTCTGCAATCCCTCCTTTTATAGAGGTCCTTGGGCCAGACTAGGGATCTCTTAGAAGGTATAGGGTTTGGACTTCCTACGGGCCCAAATTCTTATGTTCAGCCCAGAACACAATTTGTCCCGTAAATATTAATTCAATCCACTAGAGAATTAATATTGCACTCTCGTCCTATCCCGAAATGAATTAGGGCTTCAATTAGACTCGATATAATTCCCCGTGTTTAAGATATTGCACGTCCATTAATTATCAAAGCTTCTGACTGCTTTAATTAATTAATATCTTTTATTCCTTAAGTAGTACCACTCAACCTTATTACCGTACGGATTAAATCCACCTACAGGGTTTATACGATAATCCTTATGAGTTTATTAAGGGGACGTCATCAACCTGGATGTCCAGGACACAGTGCCCTAATGCCAATAAATAGATATCATGAAGACAATATTGTTACCCAAGATACGGAGCATATTGAACCAAATTGGTTCTCACCCACGGTAGGTCAAAGTAACAAACAAATATCCCACATATCTAAGTATCACAATTAGTGTTAAGAATTAGTAGAGTCACCGAGACCTTGGTTGTCACACCCCGCCTCACTACTAGCTTTGAA